TTTGGGGTGTGGGGGGAAAGGAAACAAAAAGGTGCAAATAGAAGCCTACAGGGTACTTGTAAACCTATCTCTGTGATCTCTCTCAGTGAGCTGCAAATTAGCTATGTTTACTGTAAGTGTTTCTGCTAAGCATTATTTTTAACATTAGATCAATTACCTGGAAATCAGTATTTTTTTTTTTACTTAACTTATTTGAATTTTGGTAACTAAAGATAGTGCACAAAGAAGTTTAAAGAAGTCACCCTTTTACACCTAGGCCAGGGGCCTGAGACATGAGTGAAAGGGTTAAACAGTTTACATTGAGCTGTTGTTTTCTTTAACTAGAATATATCCACAAAGACTAGACTATAAATGATCCAGTGTGATTATCTCGGTACATTGGGGCACCACAGGAACAACCCATAATAATCTTACAGGAAAATTAAGGTAAGAGAGTGAAGGTTTTGTCTTATCCGGTGTATCCAGATTTGTTTTCCATTTGGTTTGCTTCATTTACCAGTGATCCCATTTTAACCAGTCAATTTGGCAGGGCTGTTTGTGTAAGGTTTGGGGTTTTTTTCTGTAACAGGTGCTATACTATGTATAAATACAAAGGGAAGAATATTATTTAGATCATTATTAACAATCAGATGGTGGCAATATTTTTGCTAGTTACTTCTGGTAATTAATTTGCATTTCCAGCTGCGGCTTTCAGTTGTCAAATTTCATCTCAGTTTCATACTGCTGAATGATGGACTGCAAGTGTGGAGTAAATCATCTCAGACTTGTACAGCTCTTTTGTTGTTTGGACTAACTCTTGTGTATCTTAATTAACGTTGGGGGGATGCAAAGGTTCTTCCCATAAGTAGACTTTTGCCTATAAATTTGTTTAAAAGCACATGGGAGGGAGGAAAAAGAAAACAAGCCAACAACCTAAATGCACCATCTTGGCTAAGCAGCCGGGGTGTTGATGGAAAATGATTGAAACTTGAAATTGGTCAACACTGGACAATGTGAAAATAAATTCAGCTTTTGTCACTGCAGCTACTGTATGCTTTAAAGGGCCTTATGTATTTGTCCTCATTTTGATAAAATGAAATTTCTTGCCATTAAAATGATACACTAATTTCTACCGAAAACCAGCAGTTCCCAGGATAAATATGCTAATTAACATTTAACAAGTCTTGTTTTAGTCTTAAGTAAAATTTCATTCTATTATGTGAAAAAATGCTGTTATGCATATTTTGTGGATATATTTAATTTCAGTTGACAAATAGTTGTCTAGGTACAGACTTGAAAATATATATATAGTTTACTTGTGGATCTTAATTGTTTAATTGCAAAATAAAGATGTGCTTTAGTAATTTAAAGTTTAATTTTTTGTGTGATTTTCTTGCTACTCTACACACGGTTTTACTGTGCTACATTTATACATGTCTGATGCCAGATGATGTTCACGTTGTATTTTACTTCTTGACATTGTATGACATAAATACATCCCTATGGACAGAGCACTAGAAGAGGATGCTAAATTATCAGGAATTAAATTATTTGGTTACAGTGTCAGCCTACATTTTTTTCCATGAATTTATATACTGAAAGTTTTTCTCTAATGGAAGAATAAGTTTTTAATTACCTTTTATAGAGTGAGTGATTTGGAGACAGCGTTCAATAGAGATTATAGTCTGATCCCAAAATTGATGGTAATGAGGAATGCTGATGCAAAGAACAAAAATCCCAGATGGAAGCTTGTGATGAAATACTTGCTGCCAAAAAGTGGGGGGATGTTCAAAGCAAAAGTGGGAAAAGATGATGAGAGGACTTAAAAGGCAAGAGAAAAATCTCAGGATGAGCATCTAAGAGATCTCTGTGTGTTCTAAATTTCACTGATTAATGTAGGACTTGAAAGTGAGGACAAGGTGTTTGAAGTACAAAAAGATAAACTAATGGGAAAGAATTTCAAGGAGAAAAACAGAAAAGAGAAATTCAGTAGGAAGGGGTTTGTTTAAACTTGGCATAGGAAGACTGGATAGAAGAAAAGTCACAGATGCCACAGCTGAATGTGCATATACTTGGACTGTATCTGAGTAGCAAATAGTGAGGAAGGGGTAGACTGTAATTACACGAAGAGTAGCAAGAGGCTGATGTGAAGTATGAAGCACAAAAATTGGCAGAAGTTGAATGTTGCTGAAGCTACAGGAAGGAAATAATGGGAGTTCTTGGTGGCAACATGGGAGCTTGTGAAAGAAGCTCAAATTGAGAAAATAGTTGAAGGTGGTTAGAAAATTTAGGAACAACCTCTAAGAATCAGGGATTTCACCAGAATTCTTTGTCTAATAGGAAAATTTGAATTTGTGTAGATGTAATAGCACGGAGACTCCTATGTATTTACCTCACAGATTTCCACTGCAAACTAAGCAGCTTGACATCCAAATGATCAGTTAATTGATCTGCTCTGAGAATTCATCAGATAAATTATAAATTATTTTTTCCACATTAAGTACAGTAAGATTTTGTATGGCTTCTTTGGGAACTTAATTGCAAGCTCCCACATGTATTTCATGACAGACTGCCAGGAGCAAGCAAAAGACTGATAAAAAGTATCTAAATTCCTCCTGTTTTGTGATTTATGTTCCTGAATAAATATTCAGGCACGAACCTGAATCTCACCTTTCCCCTAAGTTTGCCTTGCTTCTGCTTGCAGCAGGAGGATTGCTCAGTTGTCAACACAGATACTTAACATGAAAATCAGCCTGTTGCTTCCTCAGCAAATTACAGGCAATTACCTGGAAGCTTTTTTTCTCCATTTTAGCGGCTGACATGACGGTAACTGGAGCTGATTGTGCCATGGCATGGTCCTAATGTGGGTTTCGTTATGCCAGTTCCTCTGCATGGCAGGTGAGTGACTGATTATCTCAGGCCGGGATTGAGAGTTGAGCGTAGAAAATGCTGTGTTATCATTAGCCAAAGTCTCTGTTTTCCCAGCCTGTTATTTATCCTGGGTTTTTTAAGGAATTTGGAGCTCCTTTACTCAGAGCTTTGTCACTGTTATCTGGCACTATGCACGCAGAGTTTATATTACCTTTCCTAAAGTTTTCCATTTGGAGATCTCAGATACTGGCTTGGACACAAATATTTATGTACTAAGAAAAACACAGTGAGGTCCAGCCCTTTGTAATTGCTGCCAAGGAGCAGGGCTTGTCCCCCGGGACTGGAGTAACACCTAAGAGAAGTGACAGAAGTACCGCGGATCACGGAGACAGGCTGTGCTGGTGTTTTTGAAGGACCTTAGAATACAAACTGCGTTTTGTAGTCGCGAATCTCAGTGTATTTCAGTGTATAAGTAGTAACAGTGTTCGTTGGTAGACGGCTCTGCTTTATTTTAATACACTGCTCCCGCTGTCCTTGCAGGCAGTGTTTGAAGAGGCGCTTTTCTTCTAGACTTAATGGTTTAGGCTCGCGTTTGCCTGAAGGTTCCAGTCCCCGCTGGGCAGCCGAGGGCTGGTCACA